TCCTGTCTCCCTCCCAGGCAAGGCTGTAGATTCTGTCTTGTCTTTTTTTTTTTTAAAGATTTATTTATTTATGCATACAGAAGTGGGGTACAGGCCAGAGGTGCAGAGGTGGTGAGGGATTCACCAGAGACAGATTGGGGAGCAGAACAGGCCAACTGATGAAGCACACTGCTGAGGGGAGCAGCGGGCAGGTCAGGAGAGGTTGCCACACCATGTGGTCCCCCACCCGGGCAGGCGGGATCGAACTCATGCAGTGGCTTTAGCTTCTTAGTGCTGTTCTTTAACCCACTGCGCCACCAGGGAGGGCCCTCTCTTGTCTCTTTATGTCTGCATCTTTCCAGCCAATACTTTTTAAAATAACATTTAAATTTGAAATTTTAGATTTTGGAAAGTTGCAAAGATAGTAGAGTTCCAGCATGCCTTCCACCCACTTATCATTTACATTTTGCATTTCTATGTGCATGTGTTAAAAGTAGACTTTGTTGGCTTATTAACTAAATTCCAGACTTTGCTTGAAGTTACCAGCTTTTCCATTAATGTCCTCTGTTCTATTGACCAGGATGCCACAGTTTGTTCCTGCTTGTCTGTGACAACTATTTTTAGTTTATGACCTTGACAGTATTGAGGGGTACTGGCCAGGTTTCCTGTAGAAATGTTCCCCAAACTGAATTTGTCTATTTTTTAGTTTTCATGACTAGACTGAGGTTATGGAGTTGGGGGAAGAACAACAGTGGGAACGTGTCCCCCTTGTCACATGTATCTGGGGGCATGTGGCATGCACACAGCAGCACAGGCCTGTGCCCGGTCAGAGCGTGGTGCAGGTGCTGTGCTTCCTTATCCTACGCTTTTTACGGGCCAGTCACTCACTTCAGCCTGCTTCCAAAGGAGAGGCTGAGCTCCACCTCCTGGAAGAGGTAGTAGCTACATTATTTTGAGTACTCTGATTTTGAAATGGGTATTTATTTTCTAACCCTATTTCCATTTTCTGCTTAAGAGCTTGTGGTTGTTCCTACCCATTCAGTGGCTTGCACAGTGGGAACTGTGGACCAGTCTTCAGTGGCAGGCTGAGCCCTATCTTCAGTAGGGGTTGCTGAATGGGCAGAGGGCCCTGCACACCTGCCAGTGGCCCTGGATTGAGTAGCAGTCAACTTGGCAGCGGTGTGTTTACCCTCAGACTTGCCCTGGGTCACAGCTTCTCAGCAGCCACCTGTTCTTGGGCATGACTTCCCAGGGGTATTCACAGGGAATGTGCAGAACTCTCTGGGATAGTATCTACATCAGGCCCACTGATGGTTTCATCTTGTGTTTCGCTAATGACTAATGATGGTAAGCATATTTTTGTATGTGAAGCCTTTTGTATACCTCCTGTACTGAAGTGTCTATTTAGCTCTTCTCTTTTGAGATGATATATTCTGATCAAATGTAACTTGAAAGTATTTCCTCCTAGCATGTGATTCTCAATCCATCTTAATTTTTTTTTTAAGTACTTAAGTTTGACTTTTTTTTTTTTAAGATTTATTTATTTATTCATACAGAACTGGGGTATAGGCCAGAGATGCGGAGGGTGAGAGGATTCACCAAGGACAGAGTGGGGAGCAGAAC